ACTAAATGATTGGCTCCAGACCTGGAGTTTTCCACAAAAATTCAGAAATAAATGCAAAAAGCCCATCTGCCATCTCCAGTGAAATTTTCAAATATTTAAGATGATTTATCATGTTAACAATTGTAAAAGGGAACATCTGGCATTAAACTGGTTTATTAGACAACAGGTCACCGTTTAGTTTCCTTACTGCAGGGCTGGCACACATTGGAATGGCTCAGTAGATCAGTAGGAAGAAGTGTCCTTTATTGCTGATTTATGTAAATGTTTACGAAACATTTTTGAAGGGGAAGATGATTAGGGGGTTACCTCTTTTTCCTAGGAAAGATAAATGTTTCTTCCTGCTGTCACCTAAGAATTATAAAAACTGTCTAGACACAACGTCAACACCTCAGTGATGAAAGTTTGCAGAAACCTCTAGTGTTGGAGAAAGTGAAAACCTTAAAAAGATCTTATGCTCACCATTTACAGTATTTAATTACAAGATCCTGGATTAGTGTTTTCCCCTTTATAAGTTAAAGGGAGAAGGCTGCATTTTTAGGTTACACCTTCTATATTCAGCAACATGACACAGCACCTGTTAAAAATGTTATTATGCTGGCTGCTAAACTGCCCAACAGCATGTGAATGAGTCAGTCATACAGTAGATTTAAAAGTAGCTAGATACTGTCTCCCACAGACTACACTAGGTATTAATGTCTTCCGTGGCTTATACCTGCAATAAAGACGGCATTGAGGAGAGAAAATGACATGATGTGATCTTGTCCTGGCAAAGATTACAGTGAGCAGTCAGGGCCTCGTTTGCACTGCTGCTCTGCACCTGCAGCTCTTCAGCTGGGGTTATGAGTAGGAATCACTTTTGAAAATCAGTCAGATGCATAGCCTCTTGGGGCTCTCGGAGTTATTGGCAGGATGAGACTTGTGTGGTTGTTTTGAAGATGTACACACAATAAAAACTAAACTTTCAGAGGGGTAGCCGAATTCGTCTGTAACACGAAAAACTTCAAAAACAACAAATAGTCTGGTAGCATTTTAAAGACTAACCAAACATGTAGAAGCCACACTTGCTGTGGTTTTAAATTCTTCCCTGGTGACTCCCAGTTCAGCCTCAAAAGGGGCTGCTTAGTGGTGTTATAACAAAGGCCCTGTCGCATTTTTTCTGCTTGCAATTGTAGGTTGTGAGTTCTGATTCTATGGACATGCATTGTTATCTTCATGTGCATGGAGCTGGACCTAATCGAGAGGCCAGTGCCACTCACAGAGCATCCAAAGCACAGAGCAACAGGAAAAAGTACGAGCTATCGCTTAAAATATTAATTTAAAGATGGGGGTTCTTGGAAGCTCCTCGGAGTGTAAAGATGGGAGTCAGTGAAATTCCCCTGTGGATTTGGACACTTAAGCCACATTTTTCAAACTCAGTTGCCCAATGTGAGGCAGACAGATCCCTGTTCAGGAATCTTCAGATTTTCTGAGGAACCCACTAACCTCACGGAGTGCTGCAGATGCTTAGCAGCTCTGAAAAATCAAGCTGCTTATTTAAGTGCCCATATGTAAATGTGCTGCTTAATTAGGCTCCCAAGTTTTAAAATGTTGACTTCTAATTCCTTTAAACATAGCCAGTTTAGTTACCTTAATTTCTCTGGCTGGCTTGTGACCTACAAAAACCAGGGTCCTACATAAAACTTCTGAACAAGCAGGCACCTCTAAAAGGGGCTTTTAGGGCACAGCTATACATCAGAGCTAAAGCCAGAATAAGCTACGCAACTTGAGCTATGCCAATAGCTTATTTTGGCTTTTGGCGCTGCGTACTCGGCAGGAAGTCCGAGTTAGAGCACTCTTCCTCCGACTTTCCTTACTCCTCTTACAACGAGGGCTATAGGGCTGTGTCTAGACTACATGCCTCTGTCGGCAGAGGCATGTAGATTAGACACATAGGCAAAGGCAAATGAAGCCGCGATTTAAATGATCACGGCTTCATTTACATTTACATGGCTGCCACGCTGAGCCGACAAACAGCTGATCAGCTGTTTGTCGGCTCAGCGCGGCAGCCATGTAAATGTAAATGAAGCCGCGATCATTTAAATCATGGCTTCATTTGCCTTTGCCAAAACAACAAATCTACATGGCTCCGTCAATGGAGCCATGTAGTCTAGACATACCCTAGGAGTCTGAGTGAGAACTCCTCTAGCTTGACATTATTTCAAAATAACTGCTTCCTGTATAGACACAGGCTATGTTGTTTCCGAATAACATCAGTTATTCCACATTAATGCTGATGTGTAGACAGAGCCTTAATGTCTAGATAAACATTTCTGGATGGCCAGACAAAAGGGAAAAAATCAAAACAAGCCAGGAGTGTGAGGGAGCTGTCTCTGTTCTAACTCTTCATCGAAGTTTAATAGTAAAAGCTGCATTACTGTACAGGAAAAGCCCAGATTTCTTACTAGGTTTCCAGAGACACCTTCCTATTGAGGGCCACTGTAAAGCTGGAATCTGCTAGGATGTTTCAGACACATAGGATGCAGCCTCCCCTATTCACAAAAGTACCATGCAGAAGGCACAGTATTGACCTGACCACGGCAAATTCAGCTGTGATATGTAATGTCTTTCTGCCACACTTCAATTCCTCGTGCATTTCTAATTCTGCCCACATGCCAAAAGAGCAGAGACCATTCAGCCCCCAAAGCTGTGGATGGAAAGAATTTCATTGGAGCAGGTGATGGAGGCCCTGTATTTGGAAAACCAAGTCCTAGGAAGAGCACTAAGTTTTGTCTGCTCTGGCTAATTGCCCCAGCAACTTTTGTTTGTCAGTCTTCTCGTTTTTTCCCTGGGTTGGCATTTTTGTGGCTGAATACCACTGGGAGTTGGGACTTGCGGTAACTCTCACTGCTCCTTACAGGAGTTTTGCCTGCAGCAGTCACATAGTTGAAAAATCTAGCTACATGTGACTGCTAAGAGACCACTGAGAAGCCAAGCACGCCGTACTCATGGCCATTTTGCAATTCCACCTCATTAGACATGTTTTGGGGCTTATGAGTGTGCTGTGAGGATAAATAAGTATAAATATTATATTTGCCTGCAGGTTATCTTTAAAAATGTATCTCTCTCTCTTTCTCTTTTTTTTTCTTCAATTTTCAATGTAGTCTGTCAGTTCCTGGTTAGGTGAGTTACCAACTTAGTGGTCTCTCAGTACAGTGGACCAGCATTAGGTGTTAGCTCATAAAGGGACTGCCAAGTGCTGCCAATTATGCGAGATTCCAGCAAGGAAAATACACAGCCACATGATTAGGTCCAGGAGTGAGGGGAAATTCACATTTTCCCCTGAAACCACTTTTGGAAAATGGAACTGGATTGAAAAGAATTGTCCACTTGTCCTCACACTGCAGTGTCCACCTGTTAAAATGAATTGGGCAGCAATGCCATTCTCCTCCTTAAACAGCTGTGGAAGGGAATTATCGGGAAGAGGGAGCAGGAGAGAGGTGCAGCAGAGAGTTTCTTGGTTAAGTGCACCTTACAATTCAAACTGTTGCTCAAGAGTTGTGGTTTCTCACGTGGAGAGAAAAATGATTTTACTTTCAGGGAAAAAGCACTCTGGCTCCGATCCCCTAGGATGTAATCAGCATAGCTCCAGTGAAGTCAAAAGAGCTACACGGGTGTACACCGGCCCTTTGACATTTGTTTTACAGGCCAGATGTTTGGCCGCTCTGGAGCTAGGTTGCATGACCTAATTCTTCCTTCGTAGCAGTTGTACACCAGTTCAAATCCACTGATGCCAATGGAGTTTGTCCTGATTTGCACCAGAGAGCGGAGCCAGGAGTTACAATTCTCTCCAAAAACAGAGTGCCAGTTAGTTTAGACAGCAAGAAGTGAGCCTTACATCCCTTTCATACTCTTCCTCAGTCTTCTTATGTTCCTGAGAGTCTGATTGAAAGAAACATGGCTATGTCCAGACTGCAGGCTTCTTTCCGGAGAAGCTTTTCCAGAAGAGATCTTCTGAAAAAACTTCTTTCAAAAGAGAGCATCCACACTGCCAAAGCGCATCGAAAAAGTGACCTGCTTTTTCGAAAGATAGCATCCACACTGAATGAATGCTATCTCGCATATAAGCTGTGATTACTATGGGCGGAATGCCCACCAGTGCACCTGTGCTTTTTCCCCTTTCCTCTTCTTTCGAAAGAACTCCCTCTTCCCCATCCACACATGCCTTTTTCCGAAAGAGCTCTTTCAGAAAAAGGCTTCTTCCTCATAGAAAGAGGATTATCAATATCGGAAAAACCCCTTCTGTTCTTTCAATTCTTTTTCCAAAGGAACGGGATTGTAGTGTGGTCGTAAGTGAAGTTTTCTCAGAAAAACAGCCATAAAGGACTTCCTTGTGCTGCCAGTTCCGTTTTTCTGAAAAAACTCTGTAGTGTAGACATAGCCGCATTCTTAAGCAGTCCATCTCCAGTCTCACGTGCCTATAAAATGCCCAAAGGAGCAAATGGATTTCAGGTCGGCCTGTACTGAGATTAATTTTGTTTTATGTTTTCATAAATTGCTTGTAAAAACTGAGACTTACACCCCTCTTTTTGCCTAATGGAATGTCCTTATCCTCAAATTGGAGTAAGGCAAGTTCCCCTTAAAAACTGGAGAAAGTTTTTCAAAAACCACCTGCTTTGCAGGAGTTCTTCTAGCCACTGAGAGCAGATCACTGGAGTTCCCAGTGTTTCAGTAATATAAAAAGGCAACATCAGCACAGAAAGATCTCCAGTGCTCTCCTAGCTGCACACACATCCAGACTAAAGAATATAGATCAGCATACTTGCTATCACTTGGACTTCCTGACTCAGAACGGTTTTGGAGGAACGGTCTATCTGCTTTAGCATTTACAATAGAACCAAATGGCAATAACTCATGGTCTTTTACATGTCTTTTACATGTGCTATTGCTGTCCTGTCTCCTGTGGGTACTTACCGATGCTGCCTTCAGATAGGTTTGCAATATTCCCCTTGAATTTAGATTACCTTTCTCAGCTGTAATAAACATGCCATCCATTTCTACCTCTTGGAACGGAAAGCAAAGCTTTATAGAAACTATTCCTCCATTTTAAGAAAATATCCAGCCTGAAACAGATAACAAAAGGACAGTAATAACAACATGTAAAAGCTTTCACACTATTTGTACAGTGCAATTAACTTCTCTTTCCCCAAATCTAGCAATATTCTTTTTCCAGTGTGGTTTTATCTCACCCCTTCTCTTGAATTTTAACCATGCTTCTAGTAAAAAAAAAAAAAGTCATTATCTACAGCAGTATCTCCTCTTCTGGGCCAGCTGCATTCTACATAGCACCAACATAGACATATTTAGGTGACTTTGTCTTAATTTTGATTACAAAATATTTTATCTGAGTGGGAGCAAGAAAATGATCTAAAATCACCTGAGTCAACACAATACAGTTTGTTTTATGAAGTACATTACAACTTGAGTCACATGCAAAACAAGGTAATCCATCTCTGTTATTTTATACTAACATCCCTATTGATTAGTGGGAGTCAGTGTTATATTTAAGGCAATAAAACCGGAAAAAAAAAATTAGAGTTAAGCTGCACAGAATTACCAAAACTTAACCATGGAACAAATTGTAGAATATTTTTGTGGAATTTCTGGTATCAGAGCAGCTCTGTCGCTCACAGAACAGATTTCATGGATGGCTATCAGGCACGACAGTGGGGCAAACTCAGTTTGGGAGAGTCTCCTTATTAATATTTCATTATTTTATTCGTTGACCTTGTTTTAAAATATTTAATGTTCGCAGCTGTCACCACCCACCTCAGATTTACCATACAGGAACATAAAAGATTAAATTCACCCAACTACTGCCTGATACCTGAGTCGTCCTTTACACCAGTGCAAAGGAGAGTGTAAGTCTCTCAATACTTGTGTGTGATAATCATAAGGTTGGAAGAGACCTCAGGATATCGAGTTCCTCCTGCCTGCTAAAAGCAGAACCAATCCCAACTAAATAATCCCAATCAGAGATTTGTCAAGACAGGACTTAAAAACCTCTCTACCTCATCCCTAGGTAACCCATTCCAATGCTTTAGCACCCTCTTAATGAAATAGTTTTTCCTAATATCCAGCCTAGACCTCCCCCATTGCAACTTGAGACCATTGCTCCTCATTCTGTCATCTGTCACTACTGAGAACAGCCTCTTCCCATCCTCTTTGGAACTTCCCTTCAGGTAGTTGAAGGCTGCTATCAAATCCCCCCTCACTCTTCTCTTCTAAATAAGACCAAATCCCTCAGCCTCTCCACATAGGTCATGTGCTCCAGCCTCCTAATCATTTTTATTTCCCTCTTCTGGACGCTCTCCAATGCGTCCATACCCTTTCTGTAACAGGAGGCCCTGAACTGGATGTGATACTCCAGATGTGGCCTCACCGGTGCTGAATAAAGGGGACTAATCACTTCCCTAAATCTGCTGGCAATGCTCCTACTAATGCACCCCAGTATTCCGTTAGCTTTCATGACTACAAGGCCACCCTGTTGACTCATATGCAGCTTCTCATCCACTGTAATGCCCACGTCCTTTTCTGCAGAACTGCTGCTCAGCCAGTTGGTGCCCCGCCTGTAGCCGCACTTTGGATTCTTCTATCTCAAGTATAGGATACTTGGGTGGAAACGATGATACACGTGCCAGGCAGGAGGAATCCAGGTTCTAAAGGTGCTACTGCTGCTCCAGTGATATTCTCTGACACAAGACAGGTATTCCTGGTTCTATTCGCACAGCAGCCACATAGTTCAACATTTCAGTTAAAATGCACTTACTGCACCTGCCAGCAGCTCTGCACCCATTTCACAGGTACAATGGCAAATGCTGCAGGAGATGCTGCAGTACTAATTGCACCTCATTCCCAGACAGGACTTTGCTCCAAAGCCAACTGCATACAGCGTAGGATGCTGTGTCCGCAGATTAACACAGCCTTCCACTCTGGCTATTGCTAGTAGGTACTCCAACCACCAGGAGAGGCTATCTGCTTGCTGGCTTAGGGGATGTTTACACTGCAGGTTGTGTAGACATACCTGAGCTAGCAACAATCTGTCACTCTTGGGTTCTGGAGCAGTGAAGCAGCAGTAGCCTGGGCTACCTTGAGGCTAGCGCATGAATAATTACCCCGTGGTCCAGGTGGGATGATCCAGGCCATGCTGCTGTGGCTTCACTGCTACTGCTACTCACACTACGTTAAAGCTTGAGAATATCTATGCCACTTCCTAACTGCAGTGTAGACATACCCTACTGTGACAGGGTGTACCAACCCTGCACTAGGGCTGAGAGGGTTAACCTGGCTCCCCTGGCTAAGGAGGCCCCGCCCCCACTGCCCTGGTGGGCATGCTCCAGCTGGAGGCCAGGTATAAAGGCCTGTGGTGCCGCACAGTCAGGGCTGCCTGCTGTTGGGGGAGGAGGTGCTGCAGTCAGGGGCAGATGATGATTTTGCGGGGCCCAGGGCAGCACAATTTCGCGGGGCCCCCCCTTTGACACGGCACATGTGCGGGGCTTCTTGAAGCGCAGGGCCCGGGGCGTCCGCCCCACTCGCCCTGCCCTATATCCTCCCCTGGCTGCAGTGCTCTGGAGGAGGCACCACCAGTGGACCAAGCCATGGAGGCTGGTCAGCAGGAGATTGCAAGGGAAACCACCGTTATGGAGGGAGGAGCTGGAGAGAGCTACTGGAAAGAGACTGGTAGAAAGTAGCCCAGGGTGGGGGACCTGTACCCTGGAAGCTTGGTGTGTTTTAGTGGGGTTCCCTGCCAAGCTAGTGGTGGTCCACTCCACCACTGATAGGGCTCTGAACTGGGACCCAGTAGAGAGGGTGGACCCAGGTCTCCCTACCCCCGCCTCACCTTCCCCATGAGGGGGGACACACTGACTCTAGCTGCTAGGTCAGGCTGCCCTGAGAGAGAAGGGTGTGGTTACAGCCTCTGGCTGCTAGGTCAGGCTGCCCTGAGAGACAAGGGTGTGATTACAGACTCTGGCTACTAGGTCAGGCTGCCCTGAGAGAGAAGGGTGTGATTACAGACTCTGGCTACTAGGCCACACAGCCGTGAGAGAAAAGGGCGTTTGTTACAGACTTTGGCTGCTAGGCCAGGCTGCCCTCAGGCATTGTTATGAACTCTGGCTTCGAGGCCACTTGGTCCAGGCAGAGAAAGGCCAGGTTAGAGACTTAGCCCAGATGATCGGAGAAGAACATGGATGAAACTGACACATGTGAACACTATTTGAGGGGTCACTGAAGCACACGGCCCTCGCCCCCTTGAGGGGGGGAAGACACCTTGCGACACCTACTTAATTGCCTGCTGGATTGTTGGTGATGGGGGCAAAGGTCAGGCAAAGTAGGTGTTTTGGTCCTACTTTTTGCACTTGACAGATCATCATGAAGGCAAGCAAGAGGCTTGGGTCATGTGTTTTCGTGGCTAGAGCAGAGACAGGAGACAGACTATTACCTTGCCCTGGTTTTATTCCTATGTAAAATAACTGAATTCAGTAACAAATCCAGATGTGTACAGGAGTAAGGAAGATCCATCAAAATCTATGGGTCCTGTGCTGTGTTCCATGTAAGCTGGATGCTTATGCGGCCATCAGGAGAGGTTCCCGTGCCGCCCAGCTGATTCGCAGAGGGCCCACCCCTAGGGCTTTGGTTTCTATGGGTGGTGCACATTCACATATAACTCAGTGCATATAAACAATTATTCCGCACATTGAAGGAAAAGATTAGAGCAAACATTGGTCCTGTTCCCAGCCTAGCCACTGGGTCACTTTTCAGGGTGCGGAGCAGTTTGAGATTGTCAAGCGAATGGTGCTCTCTGAATGCACCACATACCTCTGTAGGAGGGAGCCCTTTATATTTTTTTTTTAAAAAAAGTATCATGTCCTGGTTAAATCAAGCATCACCTTTTTTCTGGCTCGTCTCCTGCTACTGAATCAGCTAACGTCGCATATCAGCTTTTCCAAATCACTCTTTGCAGATTACAATAACCACCAAGATTTTAGCTGACAGCTGGCTCTAGGGAGCCTGAAATTCATGGGTTGGCCTTTTGTGCCAGTGACACCAAAGGAGAAATAGCATCTGCAGGATGCTACAGCAGCTATTCCTTCATGGCAGCAAACAATGCTTAGGGTTGCATAAATTACATCCCTGAGCCAACAGAGAGATGTCTCCAGGGTGTGACTCTGGGAAGCCCCCTCCCTTCCTTTAAACAGTCACATTCTGGGCAAGCAGTGAAGCTTCTTGGCTCACATAGTGATGGAATTTGGGTCGCCTACAATTTGTTCTCAAAATCGTTGGCCTGAAATACTTCCTGCATTTCCCACAGGAGCAAGCAGGGACTTTGTTCCTCGTGGCATATTTCTATGTTTGTTTTCACACATTGGTGACGGGCGTGTGCCAGCCACCAGAACTCCCAACCAGATGGTATTCCAGATGTGGTACCTTTGTGCTTCAATCCAGACCTTGTTCCTCTCATTTTCCTCTGATCTATCATCTATTGATAAGCCCTCCGTGGAACAGTTGTAGACGCTGCAGTATCTCGACTATACCACAAGGGGCAGTCTTTTTAGGCCCAAACTGGCAGCTGTTTATGTTGCTTTGCTAATCGTTGTATACTCCCTCGGTGAATGTGTATGAAGTAGGGCAAGCAGAATGCTGGAGCTCAAACCTGCTAGTGAGGATACAGTAATCGGTGCAGTTGCTTTGTTGCATCTGGGATTTTTTGCAAAAAAGATTGTGACCGTCTCTTTGTTGTGTGTACAGTGCCTAGCGCTGCTCTAGGACTTGGATTCCGATGTGCTATGGCAACACAAATAATAAATCATCATAAAGCATCTGGCGTAAGAGCGATTCTATGCTCTGTAATCCTGAATGGAATATGCAAGACGTTGAGCATTGTCTTGGAGGAGCAAAATATTCCTTTTGTCGCCCTCGGTGAATAGCTCTGTGTCTTGCGACTTGTTCCTGGACAGTCCGTGCCTATTGGAAGGCTTTGACAAAGCCAGCTAGAATGAAGCAGGTGTCCGAGCATGAGCACTTAGATGAAGGAACATTTATCAGTGCTTAGAAATAGCACCCACACGTATATTATTACAAATGACACAGTGCAAATAGACTGTGCACATACTAGACTGATCCTGGAATATTGTCAGTAGTGCTGCTAGCAGGCACAGCACTGAGTGAGGAAACTACATGGCAGGACTCGAGAACCCACATGAGTGCTCAGTGACAAACTTTAACAGTTTAGATGCTTGGTTTGATTTGCTTCTATGCAAAAATGCTGCATTTGTGGAGGGGCCCTGGGTGTCTGTAGTATCACAAAGAACGAGGGAGGAACCTTAGCGGCAGACAGGACCCAAAACAACTAGGGTGAATCCTAACCGCCAAATCCAGACCAGTTATACCAATCCAACATACAGGATCTATTTTGAACTAAACTAGTGTTTCTGAATTGATTGAATAGCAATGGGAAAAATGAGGATTTTTTTGTATATGATGCCTTAGTCCCCAAGAGCACTGACCTAATCGCCATACAACACTGACATATACGGTGTAAAGTCATAAATGATCTCCATGGTTTCTCAAGGCACAGTATACTGGGAAGAAATCATTATTTCTGCCAAACTTGGATGAAACAATCCTTTTATGGGCCAGACAAACATTCTGAGTCTACAGACTCAATAAATAAGCAAGGTTCCTACCAGAACTGGATAAAGGCATTTTCACCTTTTCCTGGACAGACACTATACTCAAAAGCTTTGTGCATTTGTGTTATAATAGTGAACATAATGACTTCACTTAGTGCTCCGATACAAGAGGACTGTAATGGTGTGGCATGTGGCCCCTTGCTAGGAATAAGAAAATCCACATCTAGGAGCCGTTTGTATTTACTGTTGATGTTGAGTCCCGTGATGAAACAATAGTGGACATCCTATTTATGACCAAAATAGTTTCTGGTCTCCTAGCCCTGTAAGTGTTCTTGCTATTTTGGTTGGCTTCTGGATCCTTTTTAGTCAGCAGATGGAGGATCATTATTCGACCAACAGTGAAAGGGTGTGATTATCTTCCCCCAAATCAGACCGAAGGAGCTGAACCCCAAGAGAACCTATGTAGTTTACAAAGTTTGCTGCTATATGACCAACCTAGAATGGACTTAGGGCAGACCAATCTGATTAACTTGGTTCTGAGACTACGTGAACTTGAACAAAGTTAGTTTCCTTGCAAATCCCTGTATAAACTATAAATACATGGAGTGGTCTGGAGAGGAGAATCATTGTCCCATATAACCCTGTCTGGTGTTTTGTTGTAACACAGCAGCATTTACCATAGTGTATAATCCAGATTCATGTCACTGGAACAACCCACCTTGGGAGGCGAATTCACTGACTGTTGCCTTGTCAAAGAAGTTGAATATCTCTGCAGCAGAAGCTGGCTGGGTGTTTCCTGTGATCTTGGAGAGACTGGTTGTGCCGCTGTCTGTTTGTGGAGCCTGTTGGAAAGAGAGAATTCCGTAAGTAGCTGAGGCTACGGCTACACCGTAACCTTCTTCTGGAAAAGCTTATGCAAATGAAGTGCAGTGTGGAATATCGCCACGCTTCATTTGCATAATTCATTAGCAGCTGCTTTTGTGCGCAAAAAGGAGCTGTGTAGATGGCTCCTTTTTGTGCAAAAAACCCTCCTGCGCAAGAGCCATTCTTCCTAATTTTTCCAGGAAGAATGGCTCTTGTGCAAGAGGGGGTTTTTGCACAAAAAGATGCTGTCTACACAGCTCCTTTTTGCGCAAAAGCCTCTTGCGCAAAAGCGGCTGCTACGTAATTATGCAAATGAAGTGCAGCGATATTCCATGCCCCACACTTCATTTGCATAAGATTTTCCGGAGGAAGGCTACAGCGTAGCCATAGCCTGAGGGTTTCATTCTTTCTGAAAAGCTTGGTTGGGCCACCTACGTCTCATGTTTAGGGAAACTGTGGCTTAGTAATTGCTGCTGCTCAGGTAAATAGTATTTGAAAAATTATGCAAAACCTGGTAGTCCTGAAGGAAAAACAAACACTCCCCACCAGAGGATCATAGAATCCTAGGTTGGAAGAATCCGCAGGAGGTCATTGAGTCCAACAGCCTGTCAAAGGCAGGACCAATCCCAACTAAATCATCCCAGACAGGGCTTTGAAAATGCTAAGGATGGTGATTTCACCACTTCCTTAGGGAATCCATTCCAGAGCTTCCTCCCCCTCCTAGGGAAATAGGTTCTCCTCATATCCAACCTAGACCTTCCCGGCTGCAACTTGAGACCATTGCTCCTTGTTCTCTTACCTGCCACCACTGAACAGCCTCTCTCCCTCCGCTTTGGAACTTCCCTTCAGGAGTTGAAGGCTGCTCTCAAATCCCCCCTCACTCTTTTCTTCTGTAGACTAAATAAGAGGGTCCCCATCACTTCCCATCGTGCCCTGAAACACTGCAACTCCCAGGAATCCCTTCAGCTTTCCAGTGCAGACCACGAGTACTGATGGACAGGTAGCAGGGGTGCTGGAACAGTGTGGAACAGTGGAGGTGCTGAGATCCATTGAACCTAACTGTGAACCCTCTGTTTGCAAAGGAAGACACTTCAAGCTGGGGATGTGTCCGAGCACATATGGCGGGTGGGAGCAGCATGATCTCCCCATCTCTTGGTGGGGGCGGATGGCAAAGAAGATTGGAAGATTCTGTGAAATGTTGCTAGATTATCAACAGCTGACTCCAACCCTTACCCCAGCCTCAAGAAACAAATATCCCCCCAAGGGGCTCATGTCCTTTCACTGCCACAAATTAAAAACCCAAACCAGATTCTCCTTTCAATTTTCTGAACAAACACAAAAAGAGAATCCTGAAAATAATTAAAATTGAAAATTGATTGTTTGGGCAATATCCGATTTCTGCAAAAGGTCCCCTGCTCCTTGGGGACTGGAAGGAGAAGTTTTTGAGCCTTGTTTTTGAACTAGCTATGCATTTTTTTTCCAGATTATTCCCAGCATAACATGCCAAGGGGAATATGCTCCATTTGTTATTTCCTTAAAAAAAAATCAATGCACTGAAACATTCCCTCTAGACCTATAATATTTATTTCAATGTTCTGTCAATAAATATAACAAGGTTAGCTTTCTATCAGGTTAGTTGGAAGAATCATTTGAGGGAAGTTCTATTTGTTAAGCTCGATTACAAAAAGCAATCAATAAGGAAAAATTCCCTAGTTGCTATCGAAAAGAAATATGGTGCTCTGAGGAACCGCCCCTTGATAGGTATTTATGCCTCTTCTCCAGAATTCTCTTGCGGGCTTCTGAAGTCCTTCCCCTTCCTTTCTAATTTCTCCACCATAGAGAAGGGGTAGAGAAAAGACAGGGTAAGTGGTTAGAGGGCTACCTGAGTTTAGTTCCCTGCCCTGCCACAGCCTTTTTATCAGACCTTGGGCAACTCACTTAACCTACCAGTGCTCCAGTTCGCCATCTGTGGCATAACATTGCCTCTTTCACAGGAGTGTTGCAAAGATACGCAGATTACAGGTTGTGAAGCAGTTGCATGCAGGGGTGATAGGAGGGCATATACATACCCTGGAGCATTGCAGTCGTTTATTGGCTAATGGAGGCCTATCCCGCTGGGATATTCTTTTCCGAGCATCACTGAGCTCCTGGATTCTGCCTCGGCAGGTAGCCTCTCTGAATTCTGAGTATTGGAGATGGACTGTCCCCTGCCCCAGCCAAAGGGGTGTTGCAAGAGAAGGTGATGGGTCTGCACACACTGCATTGTGGTAATTGACATACTAGGGTGTGAGCTGCACTTGCACTGGCTGTAGTGGTTTTTAATGCCCTAGCGGGTCATTTTTGCTGTTCTGTTCTGTACCACAAGGAATCAGACTCCACTTTGAGCGAGTGCCCTTGCCTTGCTCTGCCCTGGTGAGTGGGCCTGACGAGACTGGCTGTTCCATGCTCTCAGTGCTCAGACAGCGTCTCCTGTAATCCTCCTGTGCTTTGGGGGAGAAACTGTGGAATTCTGCTCCATGACACCCAGGTGAGAGGGGGCACAGGGCAGGAGAATTTGGTGCCCTTGCTTTAATCAGGCCAAACTTTCTTGTAAGCCATGTGTTCTGTCCTTTGCCTCATGGTAGACTGCAGACAGGAAGGGTGGCCAAAGCGGGCAATTGCCCCAGGGCTAAGACAAGCTCCCTGCCCGCCCTCGCCCTATGCTGCTCCCGAAAGCATCCGGCCTGGTGCGTCAGAGGCTCTCTGCATGCTGCCCCCATCCCAGGTGCCAACTGTGCAGCACCCATTGGCCAGGAACTGTGGCCAATGGGAGCTGTAGGGGCGGTGCCTGTGAGCAGTGATGCACAGCGCCCCCTCTCGGCCCTCCCGCTGAGTTGCCGGTAGTGGTCGCTTTTAGTAAGGGTTGCCCCACTGACCCGTTCCCCCCTGCAGAGCCCACACCCCTCACCCCCTTCTACACCCCAACCTCCTGTGCTAGCCCAGAGCCCACACCCATACTTCCTCCTAGAACCTGCACCTAATGTGAATGTTTCATCGGTTAACCGCTAAGCCTCACCTTTCACGGGTAAGGTTAACGTTAACCGGTGGGGGCTGGAGCAGCTTCTGCCTGTAGTGGGGTGGAGTTGGGGGGGCACTCCATCTCAGCAGCAGTGGGGGGGCTGTTCCAAGGCCCCCCCGCTCACCCTC